TATTCGCACCCATAAATCTCTAGACTGTGTACTCTTTGACTGCTTCTGGTGTCTGGTCTATTGTCCGTGAGTTGACACTGCTAGCAGATAAGAATGCGAATACTGAAGTCAAATCAGCGGGGACCAACATCTTGTCATACAAGCGCCTAAAAAAAATATAATCAACATTAGATTATTCAGTTAAACGAGCGAATTTTAAAATGTTCAATTATCTAATTAAAATGGATCGAAGTACCTGATGTAGGTATGCATAACCCCGACGCCCAATTCTAAATGTTTGAAAACCTGGTCGAAATCCTCCTTAGCAAGTGTTTCAGAATATTCAAAACCGAAAATACCTTGTTCCATATGTATTAGACGGATGTCGCCCTCAGGCACGTCTATTGTCCCTACATACGTTTGAAGGCACAACCTAAATTGAGGAACAAATGCTCTTTTTGTCTCGACCTTTTTTTTGGGCACCTTGGAAGTTTCAGGCATGTTTCCCTTGCTGACATGTTGCGACTGCTGATCAAGAACCTAAAAGTCATATATAAGTTCAGTAAATAATTTATAATAAAATAATCACTTAAACTGTATTACTAGTACCTGTAACTTTGATGCAGCTGAATCGGTATCCCGCACAATAATTTTATCATCTTTTGTTTTGGATTTTGTGGGAGTCTAAGATCATCATGTCAATAAGAAAGTGTAAATGTCAGAATAACTTTCATGTATGGGTAATAAAACATTGGAATATTACAAGGTTCAACCTACCTCATCATCCATGAAAATGAGATTCGCCGACCATGCTACATAAGCTCCTATCGCGTCTTCCACCACTTTTGCGTCTGATACATCGTCTCGCATAGGCAACAACGCCCCCCCCCTCTAATGCAATATCAACAGATACTTTCAAAAATCCAGCAGGGAGGGGTTTATGGTGAAGTAAGTCTACCAGGGTGTTATGCACCTTTCCCTTGCCAACCATGCGATAAGTCGGTGACGATAAATATAGTCGACAAGGTGAAATGCCCTAAACAAATAATGATCAGTTAATGTGTCAATTAAGAAAAATGTGCTAAATTAATTTCAATGTAATATATACAATTACCTCTGGAAGCTTCTGCGGACAACCGATACTATCTTTGTCACTAGTAGCTTTACCGGCCTCTGGAGCGCGCCTTTCGGACATGTATCTCTCCTTATCCTTCTGTAATTCACGAATTTGAGCTTTCATTTCCTCCAAAGTAGCCATCACTTCTTTATTGGTTGGATTTTTTTTCCTTGGCTGCTTATTCAGTTTGGATGGAGTGACACCAAATCCCTTGCCCCTCACACGCCCAGAGTACTCAGGAATATTCAACACCCGACTCAATAAACTCCTGCAATCATCGTCTTCAGCAGGAGTTATAGTCTGGGATAGGGACTCCTGAAATATAGATAAAAGCATATTTAAATATTTTATACACTTTGTTCAAACACTTTGTTCAAAAACTAATGTTGTACTTACACATTGTTCAAACACTTGTTGAACTTCTTCTTGGACGACTCCATCTCTTCCCACCCGGGCAGCCTTCCATACGACATAGTCCGGAAGAGATGTCGCATCACTTTTCTCCTCTTCCAACTACGCATTAAGACGAACAATAAAGCATTATATCCTATTATGTATACTTACTATTTTTTGTAAATAGATCATATTAAAGCATATATATGCACTTACTAATTTTTGTTCTAAGCGTGCATATCCCAAACGCCCCTTTCTATATGGATACGCAGGGTTTGATGCCCGTTCCCGATTTACGCCACTCTTAACCTGAAAAAACAAGTTTAAGTCATATCAGTTTGTTTGTGGAATAGGTATATATACTATACATTGTACATGATAAGTTGTACTTACTTCAAATTCTTTGGTTCTTCGCTTCGCAACAAATGTCTCCCATTCTGCATCCGAAATCAAATCAGCGTACTTCGCTGGACGCTCCGACTCTACAAAGTTGCCATCAGAATATTTAAGATATTTGTTGGTTAAAAACGCTCTAAATCCCCTCAAGCGTTTTCGGGCCAACTGAATACAATATTTTCTCCTAGAATCCTCAATATTAAAAGATCTCTGCAAACAAATACACATACATATAACATGTTAATATAATTAATTTAAAGATGTAACTGTCAACATAATTAAAAATGATCAAATCTCATACTTGAATCTCGGTCCAAATTTTATCCTTAGCCGCTTTTAATGCAGGAATTCTCCAGTTATCGCAAGTAATCGGAACTTGCGAACGTACAACTGCTCCAATATAACTTGTCAGCAGCGCACCATTAGGCTCAACCAACTGATCTCTTTCATTCCAATGGACATCGTACTTTACACCTCTATCTCTCGCACGGATGATACTTTTCATTATCGTTATGCCTCTTTTAATTTCGCCTTCAACGTCTTTGGGTGTTTCTTTTCCATCATGTGATGTTTCCTCGTTGCTGGCCATAATATACCTGAAATTCAGAATAACAACAACAACAACAAATATCAACAACAATAACAACATCTATATCAAATATAAACCATCTATACAAACCATCTATATAAACTATCTATATCAAATATAAACCAACAATAACAACATAAACCATCTATATAAACCATCAAATAACAATAACAAATATAAACCATCTATACAAACCATCTATATAAACTATCTATATCAAATATAAACCAACAATAACAACATAAACCATCTATATAAACCAATATCAAATAACAATAACAAATATAAACCATCTATATAAACTATCTATATCAAATATAAACCAACAATAACAACATAAACCATTTATATAAACCAATGTCAAATAACAATAACAAATATAAACCATCTATACAAACCATCTATATAAACTATCTATATCAAATATAAACCAACAATAACAACATAAACCATCTATATAAACCAACAATATCAAATATCAAATATAAACCATCTATATAAACCATCAAATATAAACCAACAATAACAACATCTATATCAAATACAAACCATCTATATAAACTATAACAAATACAAACCATCTATACAACACAAATATAAACTATAACACAAACCATCTATATAACACAAATATAAACCATCTATATCAACTATAACAAATACAAACCAACAATAACAACATAAACCATCTATATAAACCAATATCAAATAACAATAACAAATATAAACCATCTATACAAACCATCTATATAAACTATCTATATCAAATATAAACCAACAATAACAACATAAACCATCATATATATCTCATATATCATATTAACACAACAACAATATATCATCAGAACAACAACAACAATATATCTCATATATCAACAACAACAACAATATCATATATAAACTATTTTACATTGTAAACTATATAAACTATTTTACATCAACAACAACAACAATATCATATATATCTCATATATCATATTAACACAACAACAACTAACACAACAACAACAAAAACCATCATTGAAAAGATAAAAACCATCTAAATATCATCAGAACAACAATGGTGAAAAGATTAAAAAAAAAACAAGAAAAGCAGAGTAAAGCTTCACGTACCGTAACAATGGTGGACCGGCAATGCAGACGGATGGATGAACTCAAAAACGGACGGTGAACGTTCGGTGATGGTCGGAAGGATGATCGGACGGAAGAAGGCGATGGTCGGACGATGAACAGTGGTGGTTGGTTCGTGTTTTCGTTCGCCAGAGAAAGAAGAAATAGTTAGCGTGACTGTTCTGATTCTATTAAAATTCTGGAGGGTATTTTAAAATTATAATATGAATACCTATAGCAGCGCTTTTAAAGGCCTTTAGCAGCGCTTTTAAAAGCGCTTTCATAGGGTGCCTTATCAATTCCATATAGCAGCGCTTTATATAAAAAGCGCTTTCTAAGGGTCCCTCTTTAGCAGCGCTTTTGAAAAGCGCTTTCGTAGGCCCCCCCTTTAGCAGCACTTTTTAAAAGCGCTTTCTTAGGCCCACCATTTAGCAGCGCTTTTTTAAAAGCGCTGTCTTTGGTAGGCGCTTTTTTTCTTTTTTTTTTACTGGCCCTTTAGCAGCGCTTTTGTATAAAGCGTTGTCTTTCTATGCGCTGCTAAAAGTGATTTCTGGCGTAGTGATTAACCCGCATATCACATAGTTACACATGAAGCCCAACTAAATTTCACCATATTGGCTCAAGCTTCCTTACCCGAACAAAAGAGAAATGTGAAACAAGTAATTTCCATGGTGACAAAGAAGAATGGAGAAGTTAGGTACATCACGATGTACTTTTGCTAACTTTAAAAGTGAGACGTCAAGTTAATGATGTTAAACAGGTACGGAAAGGAAAGCAACCCATCAAAAACCAAGTATTATTGTTTTATTTTGTTTTTACAATGTTTATATATTTAGTTATAAGAAAAGAAACTAAAAAAAGTGAAATAAATATAAAAAGTAAGGTCGGCAAAGAATTTGGTAAAATTTGGAATGTTTAAGAAAACGTTTACTATAGGAAAAATCACGTCTAATACCTATTTTGGCCTGTTATGACCGTTTTTGTGAAAATTATGGCGCTAGGATGACATAACGTTGCACTTTATGCTTATTTTAGATTATATTTTCGAGAAGGAAATGCAACGTGCTAGATTATAATTTCTTAACTTTGTAGTTCTTTTTCTCTTGTTTTTGTTCATTTTTGTTGTAGCTTTGATACATCTTGTGTCATCCATATACTTATTTTACATATTGATTGTACTCTTTCTTTCCATTATTTATATTATTATTATTTTGCCTTTAAAAAAACAAATGTCGGTGCTTGATATATAATTTCATTTTATACACTTTCATACATTAAATTAACATAAACATAAAGTAAAACCGAATGGGTAATAAAATCACTATTAGCTAAAAAAAAATTAATCATATATACAAACATTATGATGAAAATTGATGATATTGTAGATAGATCCACAAAAAGATAACTAAAGCACCTTCATAATCCTGGCAGATTTCGACATAAAGGACACGTAGCATTCATCTTGAGCCAAACATCTATGCAATCAATATGAAAATGATGATTGCATTGGGGTATACTCCTTAATGTCTCCATAGGCTTATACTCACTAAGACATATAGAACAAACATTGTCAATTGACTTAGATAATTGTCCACTTTCTGTTAGTTGAATCTTTGGATATTGCTCTATCCTTGATCTATCAAGCCCAGACACAAACCAAGGAGGTTCTTGATTACTTGGTTCTATGTTTGTAATAGTTTGTCTTTGTTGAATATGATTTTGCTGTCTATCTTTACATATGGATAAAAATACCCAACAGATGAAGAAGAAAGTTCCTAATACTCCCCAAAGTACCGGAAAAAAGTTATACTTTTTATGCCTTTGAGTTGAAGGATTTCCAACTACATAATTTGAAATCTAGTATAAGTTATTGTATATATTAACAATAAGTATAAAAGAAAATAAATATATACCTGGGAAATCAAGAACGTAGCTGTAACAAGTAACATCAAGACCCGTTTCATTTAAAAAGCCACAGAATCGATCAGGTTCACAACCACAAGAAGGTGTATTCCATCGCAACAATGCATCAGAGTAAAGTCCTTCCATGATTACCAATGGTTCCTGTGAGTTATCTTTGACAGGAACCTCAGCAAAACCAATCTCATGACAAGTTGTATTCAACGAATTAGCAAGAGATGATTGCAACGTATACATAATCGAGTAATTTTCATTGCTCATACAAGGTATATTTGGAAGATCATCAATCACTGGATTAGTACTACTACAATTGAGAAATGTTACATTTTCATAATGACTATGAAAAGAGTTGCCCCATACAAAAGGTGAATCATCGTTGATGTTTTTGTTTTCAAGGAACCTTTGTGGTGGACAATCATTGGGACCTTTGACCCAAACTCTTTGTGTCTCAAAGGAAATGCTTTTGACTTCAAAATTTCTATCATTTGAGAGTTTAATCAAGGCTTGTTTATTATCCTTGCAATGAATTTCAAACCCTGGGTATCCACATCGATCACTTTGATGATTGAAAATTTGATATTCTTGTCTTAATACGAAAGGGAACTCAAAAAGAAGACCTGAGTTAGGGTTTCCACAATATTGCTTTACACAAAATTGAGTTGAGCTGTGAAAAAGAAAGAGGAAAATGGAAAATATGAAAGAAAATTTCAAGGTAGACATTAGATATGATATGATATGAATGAGAGTGCATGAGTCACTACTAAATTGACATATTCATTGGCTACAATATTGGGATGAGACATATATTTCGTGTATACCAAAGCTTATTATAATCCTAGTGTTACTCGTCCAATATTACTATCATAATGTGTCAATTTGGATTGTATATGTGGTCACTTTTCATTCATCTCTAAGAAGTTCTTTGACTACCACGAAGAAATATGCTAATACAAGTTTAATGATAACAAGGAATTCAAATATACTTAGGCCTGTAAATTTACACTGGGACATTCTGTGGCAGCTCGGAGGGAGAAGGAGAAAAAGTTGAATTAAAAACGTGATTAGCTATGACTAATATTATTCATTTAATATGTTGACATCTTAGTTCATTAATCTATTTAAATAAATGTAAGATTATTTGTTTAAACTCTTATATAAAACATGTTTTAATTAGTCTAAAATTTCTATTCAAGAGTCAATTGAATGGTGTATTGGAAAAATGTTAAATTTTAATATTGATTGACACAAGTCGACAAAAACGAATACGTTGACTGAAACGTTTCGACTAGGATCTTGAAACATAGTTTGGAAGAATCTCAAGAGTGGAGCTTGAAACATGGTTTGGAGGAGTATCAGAAATATATCTAATTGATCTCTCGACACCATGTTGAAGTCGACGGATTGCAAAGATTTAAAAGATTTTGGAGACCAAAGACTTGAGAGGGATCTTAGCGCTTTCAGCAACCACTTTCGACGTGCAGACAATTACTAGTCGCTAAGAGTAGTTACAAACGTCTTTTTATAATAGTTTTCAGCAGTTTTTAAGTATTAACAACGTGGCAGCACATCAAAAGATCAAGTTGTGTGTTCTTGAAGACGTGTCTACTTTCTAGGAATAAGTTGTCGGAGACGATTGCCTCTAGTTTAGTATATATAGCAAATTCATACTTTATAATCAAGGTCGTGAAATTCCTGTATTTTCTCTAGAGAACTGGAGTACCCAAGTCAAAGTGCGAAACAATTTGTGAGTAACATGTGAGTCTGCATCCCTTTCTCTTTATTGCTTATGTCTCCTTAATTGAAACTTTTTACTATTTCTCATTTAATTAATGTCATTCATTGCACTAGTCTCTTACTTCAATTCAAGTTTTTTCGTCGTTAGAATTTGTCTTTATTATGTCTGCATACAGACATTCAAAGTCACTTCACATACATACTTTCTTGTACACGTGTTTGCATAAAGTTGCTTCTAAGATTTTTCAAGTTAATCTCAGAGACTATTTGAACTTGTGATTGTTTGCTAAAAACATCTACAAACAAATTGGCACGCCCAATGGGACCTTATGTGCAAAAAAAATCTTTTCTTTTACAAGAAATTATTGCAATATTTAGACATATTTGTTTTACATTAAATGTTTTCAATGCTCGAAGTCATATGCATCTGAGGAGTGGTAAGATTTTAGCATAAATGGTTAATCCAAAAGATACTTCTCGTGCCAAAAATGAAGATCCATACATAGAACCACCAATCACTTCGACAGTTGGTACACTAAAGACATTGAACCTTGTCGGAGTCACAAGCCAATCTGAACTCTACCAGTAACTTTGACATCTATACCAGAAGTAGTAGTTTCTTTACCGTTGATAACAAATATCCCAACTACCCTCAAACCTACTTCGGTTGTTGTAACGAATCATACGCCCCCCTTATGTCCCAATTTTTACCTACCTTCAGTTACTATAGATTATCCATATGGCATGTCAACTGTCATGATTGAAGGATTACAAAGTCACGCTTCAACGTTTGCATACAATGTTATGATGATAGCGTCACCCTTAAATCCACATTATGCATCAGGATCTTCCATAAGAAACTCTGGTCGGGTGGCATAACCACAAGGAGGATTTGATATCTTCCTCCAAGAATACTAGCCTTAACTACAAATTCTCTAGTGTCCATGAGGCAACAAATGGATAAGAATAACCACAAGATGGTGAACATGTTAACACAACCGACAGGTACTATGTTTCATTTTTTGATTCAGAACACAACTCAGAATTACCATCAGTTGGCCCACCAAATGGGTAAAATTGTTGAATTTTTTTGGGCTTTTCTGCATCAGTTGTGTTGTTACCTAATAACAAATGCATGTCGAACAATCTCCATAGAGGTTATTCGAAGGAAACCAAGTTTAAAATGACCCCAAAAAAATTATGGTGCAAATAGACCATGATGTCAACCAAGTACTTAGGTAACAGATTTTGGTCTAAAATGGCCTCAACATTGGCCTTCATAGACCTAATTATGTGTCTCCTCTGTTGGAATACGTATAGTAGACCAAACTTCCCAGGGGATGGAAAGTCTTCAAATTCACTAAGTTTGCTGGTGACACCAATGAGTTCACAGTTGAGTATGATGCTAGGTATTAGATTGAGGTCGACGATATAGCCAATAATGAAAATTTGAAAATGAAATATTTTCCTAATTATTTGACAAAGAACGCTTTTATGTGGTTCACCACATTGCCTCCATATTCCATATTTAGTTGGAATCAACTAGAAAGGGTGTTCCATGAGCAATTTTACATGGATCAATCTAAGATTAGCCTCAAGGAATTGGTCGGTGTGAGCCAAAAGGTGGATTAAATCATAGATAATTACCTAAATAGGTTTAGGATAATGAAATAAAGGTGTTTCACCCAGGTACCTGAACAAGAATTAGTCTAATTGGATGTAGGGGGTCTTGATTATTCCATCAAGAAAAAGTTAGACACCCAATATTTATGATATATGGGCCAATTATCAAATAAAGTTCAACAGGTCAAATGTCTAAAAGCTAAAAAGGCCAGGTCGAGTAAGTATCATAAAAATGAAAGAGTAGCCTACTTTGAGATAGACGAAATAGAAAACTTATTCGACATAGACAATGATTTTATTGAGGAAATTAGTTCAATGTGGCAGAACTAAATCCAGAGCATCCCTATGTATGTAAATTACTAAATCCTTCAAATGGGAAAAATCCTATTGAACCAAAAACCGAGATATTTGTCAGAAAAATCTTACATGTTTGATGTAACTAAGTGTGTCGAAATTTTTCGATCTCGTAGTCTATGATGGTCAAATCGTAATCCTTAAAGTGCTTAAAATACCGCCATCAGATCAGAGAAATAAAAAAGGGTTTTGTAAATTTCATAACTTCCTAGGTCATAAACTTCACAATGTGTGCAAGCTTAAGGGGTTAGACCCAATTACAAAGAGAAAATGAATGTGGTTTTTCCCAGACTGAGGAAAAGCTCATTAATTTTCCAAATAGGTGCAAGCTTAAGGACTTTGAGGTCATGTTGTGCCCGCTTTGCAGCGCCGCTTTTGACAATGAGGCTGTGAAAGTAAGTTGTTCGACAAGAATTCTTTTTTAACAAGAGGGGAGTCCCTAAAAAAATCAAAAATCTAAGACATATGTCCCTCCTACCAATGTCCCTCCTAGGGTGTGGGTTAGACATGTAGGAAGGTAAACTGTTGATAAGGGAAAATGGAAGCTAATGACGTAGGTGCAGAATCCTTGTATCTTGACAGTTTTCAAACATCCAAGAAATGCTCTTATATTTCTAAGAACTACGTGGGGAAGAATCACATGACTCGAACCCAGTAGAAGAGACATCAGATAAATAAAAAAGATGCCTCCGAAGCAGGGAGCACAAGTAAAAATAATAGTGTTCAAGCTAAGATTGATGGATAGAGGGCAAGAAAGTCTGCCAAGCAAAGGTTGTTTCCCCCACTTCCACCGGTGATGGAAAAGAAGCCAAAGACCTTCGCCGGTGACAACAAAAAGATGGCGATTATTTACTTTGACTCAAGGTCGAAGGATGATTTGGATATTATATGCAATATGATACTCGTGTTGCATTTAGAATACAATAAGCTTATAGAGGTAACTGAACATGAGGATGGGTCAGCTGAAGAAATGGATACTCATAAGCCTTGATGTTACTATGTCATCAATGATGGATCTATTAATGAAGACAAAGTAATATTTGAAAGGCCCGACATGTCCATCCAACAACATTTAAAACCTTTGTATATAAGGGCTAAAGTGGAGGGTGTCGGGATAAATAAGGTTCTCATAGACTGTGATGCCTCTATCAATGTTATGCCACATTCCTTACTTAGGAAGATTGAAAAATATGATATGGATTTAAAATCCATTAACATGGTATTGTCAAATTATGAGGGGAAAACCAGCAAACTCTTGGGAGTTATTCAAGTTGACGTGGTTGTAGGAACCACTACTCAACCTTCCTTGTTTGTTGTGATTCTGACCAAGGAGAATTTCAATTTGTTACTAGGTCAGGAATTGATACATGGAGTAGAACAATGGCAATCACGATGAACGACAAAACAAGGGTTGTTTGAATATTAAATCGTACTTTCGTAGATCGGAAATAAAAACTGAGTGCAAAACTGGAATCATGACGGAAAACCGAGCCAGATAGTGAAAACGGCGGCAGGGCATTGGTCAGACGCATTGTCACGTGACAGGGACGGAGACCCGCGATGACCATGCACAAGAATGTTATTGGCGCGTATGAGTGCGCATGACGACGATTATCTCTCGTACGGGTGTAATAACCCAATTTTCAATGATTAATTATTTGTGTTAAATAATTGATTTATTTGGATTATTCTAATTATTTGAATAATTAGATGATTATTTAAATGGATTGATAGATGTTTTGAGAAAGGAAATTCAATGGAAAGAAATAAAGGGAAAGATATATATATATGTGAGGAAGTGGAAAGAAAAAGGAAAGAAAGAAGGAAGAGAAAGAAAGGGAAAGAAAGAGGAAGAAGAGAAAAGAGGAGAAAAAGAGGAAAACTTGGAGAATCATCAAGAACATCCTCTGGCTTCGATTAATCTAAGGTAAGGGTGTGAAATCTTACTATCTTAATCATTGTGTATGATTGTGTATGTGTGTGGATGAGTTTGGTTGTTTTCCAACCTTGTTTCCATTTAGGTCGAAATGATAGAAATCGATAGAAGCCGATGTTCGGACGGTTAGAATCGAGAATAACTTTCGTAGCTTAGTCGGGATATGTTAGACTAAGATTATTGGAACTAGTTTGGCGAAAATCGGGTGATATTGTGAGTTTCACCATTTTCGGTTAAATTGAGGTTAAGATTTTGAGTGGAAATCGAATATCGTGAAAGTTGAGTTTTATGACCCTAAAATATCCGTATATATTAGTAAGGATAGATAAGTATTTAATCGGGTGAAAACTATTTAATCGGGCGACTTTTTGGGGCTTTTAAGCCCGAACCCGTAGCTGTTTTTCTGAGTTTTTCAGGTGTTAATCGGATAACCATATACGTTAACCGATTAACACAGTGTTGGGGGCCTAAAAACTGAGTTTTTGGCGTAAAAACTGAGTTTTTGGAGTGGTTAATCGGTTAACCATATACGTTAACCGATTAACACTGTAAGTGTGAGAAAATATTATTTTTCAAAACTTCGAAAATTCATAACTTTTTCACCGTTTATCGGATTTTGATGTTCTTTATATCAAACTGAAGTTAATAATATGTTCTACAACTTGGTGAAAAGAAATATTATTTTTAGTCAAATTTTAGCCGATTTTACCGATTAGTCGGGATTAATGATTTTGAGTGAGAAGAGCTTATAGTAGCTAGAGCGTCCGGTTGCGATCGGTCTCGTCTCGTAAGGATAATTTGTGTGTTATTAATTATTGTGTTGTGGGTAGCCATAAGGCGTGAATCCTAGTGTATGAATATGATTTTGAATCGTGGCCTTTGGGCAAATTATGCATTGTTTAGAATTGAATAAAAATGCATGGCAATTGTGATGAATGATGAATATAATACACATTGTGAGTGCATGATGATTGTACGTGTTGATGTGTGAAGAATGCATGATAATATATTTGTGAATATGTATGCATTTTGTGTTGATTGATCCCGCGTAGGATCTGCAGAAACCTCGTGTGCCCATGTGGGGTGTGAGCGATGGTTTATAGTTGATTGAGTCATGTTTGCATGTGAAGCATCATGATATGCATTTGTGTTATTTGATCCCGTGTAGGATCTGCAGAACCTCGTGTGCCCATGTGGGGTGTGAGCGATGGTTATATTTGATCCCGTGTAGGATCTGCAGAGATATCGTGTGCCCATGTGGGGTGTGAGCGATGGTCTATATTTGATTCCGCGTAGAATCTGCAGAACGATTGTGTGCCCTTATGGGGTGTGAGCAATCGAATTGTGTGCCCATGTGGGGTGTGAGCAATCCATAAACATTGTGTGCCCATGTGGGGTGTGAGCAATGGGTGAACATCGTAGGCCTGACGGGGAGTTACTTCGGTAACAAGCGATGGTTCCATTTGGTTCTTCAATTGAACCTGCTGAATTGAGTCGGTACCGCATTTGCATCTGCATAGAGTCGTGAGTCGGTCTCTATGAGTTGCATAATTCATATTTATATAATGCATTGGTGAAATAAACATGTATGTGAATGTTTATGTGAAATGGTGATGATATAAACATATTGTGTATGTTTATGTGAACTAACGCGAATTGCGATAATGGCATGAGTGAGTATGCTTGAAGATATGTATATATATGTGGGTTTACATGGATTGATGTAAACATTGGTGAATGCATATTGTATATACTTGATGTTCTATTTATATATAGATACTTATATGGATACATTGCGATGTATGGAATGATTGAGATGTATGAATAAATATAATTATAAATGTTTGTGTGAAAATGATGTGAATTGTAGAAGCAAGATTGATTAGTATGCTTAGTTGTGTGTATATATATATATATATATATATATATATATATATATATATATATATATATATATATATATATATATATATATATATATATATATATATATATATATATATATATATATATATATATATATATATATATATATATATATATATATATATATATATATATATATATATATATATATATATATATATATATATATATATATATATATATATATATATATATATATATATATATATATATATATATACATACATGCAGTGTAATGTATGTGATGAATTGTGAATAATGCCTGAGAATATAATAGTACATGTATATAGGTAATGATTGGTAAATATGAGAGTAATATAGATAATAATGTTTATGTGAAAGATTTGTACTCACTGGGGTAGAATGACAATGTGTCGTTCCTAGTGGAGTAATTACCGGGGTAGAATAACTGAGGTGTTATTCCTGGTAGGGTATAAGTGACGTACCCATAATCCTAAAAAGGGGATTGGTGATATTGGGTGAGTTTTAAGTGAGTCACATGGCATGGTTATGAGTGTTATATGAAATATGCATGTGAGTATGAAATGTTGAATTGTAGGTTGCGATTGAGTAATTGAGAAAGATATTGAATAATGAATTGATGATTAAACATGATGGTGTATGTTATATGATTCGTGATGAATGAAACATAACGTGTATGTTCGTGAGGATTAATTGTAATTGCGAATGTACGCATGATGAAATGCTTGGTTTTATACATATATGCTTTGCGATGTACGTTAGTGGGTATGTGAGGTATTGTGGTGAGGAGTATAATATGTGTATTTGATGCTATGGATATATATTATATGCATGGTTATTATGTTAATGTGCATTGTGGTGAGAAAATGTGAAATGTATGTATTCTGTACTGGCGCATTTATATATGATTATGTGCTTTGATTATTATGATAATATTTCTCACCCTTCTGCTGGAATGATGTCCTTTACGACATCGTGCAGGTATCTTGGAGTTGTACTGCTAGTAGTTGCGAGGTCTCTGCTGGTGCAGTCGTTTAATATTTTAATTATGTTGGGTCGAGTCATGCTCTGGTTATGTAACACTGGGATCGTTTGGGTTTTTGCTTTAGAGATATTTTATGTATTTTAAGTTGTGTTTTAAATGTATCGAAATATTGTGATGTTGACCTTAGTGCCCAAGTATTGTTGAACTATGAGATGAACATGAATGCTATGTGAAAAGAATTATGAATATAAATTGAATCCGCTGCTACATGCAAAGTGAACTTTGAAAAGCATGATTATTTTATTTGAGTGTTTAAAGCATGACAGGTGGTTTTGATGTTTTGAAATTATGTGTGACGCCCTTTTGTGAAAGCATGTTAATTTACTCTGATTATTTATGTATTTTCATGTGGGGTTAGAAGGGTGTTACAACGGGCCAGATCGGAGTAGGCGCTTTTGTCTGTGAGGGTGGTGTAGCGGAAATTCACCGAAATTAGTGGCAATGCTGGTGACAGCAATATGATGGTGACCAGAATGAGTCACCCATAAAATTTTCTCATCGGAAGACAGTGGTCAATTGGGTAAAACACGACAAATAGTTGAATCTCAACAAGCTCTAGTACCATATTAAAGTATAAAAGAGCGAGACACATTTGAATAAAGCGTATGTTTTTAAAGGCACTACAGTGATTGTATTATATATAGAGTGATTACAAATAGTTACATGCTATAGTCGATTTGAGACTATTTTATATACAAATATTCTTAACAGTAATGTTAAATTTATGTTAACGATTATCTATGTAATGTTACATATTTTTATGATGATTTATATTTTTCTTCTATTTCTGCATCTATTACTGGTGTGTGGTTTGAGCTAATAAGTATATTTCATAAATGAATCTCCGCAAAACTTAGTAACTTTTGAAATCAAGAGTTAAAAATAAGTATTTCTTAAGACATGTTTAGACAACATGAATTGACTCACTAATAATCATTAAATATATATAATATGAATGCATTCAGATTAGCATATTTATAATATAGGAATATTTTTAATTTTTTTATCGCGGTAAAGTAACACCTTATGTAGTGTATACAGTATTAGTCGAAAAAAATAACTTTTTTTTTTGATAAATAATTTTTTAAAAATTTTAAAAAGCTAAGTCTTTTTTTTTGGGTAATAATTTGGAAGGAAGGTCGTAAGTTGGCGTTTTATATTTGCAAAATTTGCGAATCCACAAATAATCCATTCCAAAATCCAATTACAAATCTTTTTCTTACGACAGTATATGTATTTGGCGGGAAAATGTCCTTATGGTCCTTACTCCACCTCACCCCCTATAAAGCCCTAACCTCATCTATTCTCAAAACGCAGTGTTTTCTGCTCATAAAATTCCAAACCCTCTCTCTCTTCTTCCACTGCTACAGATTCGTCGCTCCATGATTAAGCCATTCCACCATTCTCTCAGGTAACGTGTTTCTCTCTCAAAGATCATTTTCAATTTCACCATTTTCTATCATCTATTTTTTTTTTCCCTTTCATTTCAATTTCATATTCGTTTTCGTGGAATCTAGGGTTTCTCAATTCACGCGATCTGCGCAAGTTTCTTTTTAGAAGAAACCACTGCCTTATTCATTTGCATTCGTTCTTTTTCTTTGTCTTCAGTTCCTAAACTTCTATCTCCGCGCTGTATTTCAGGAACAGATTGTGAAACTCTGAATTTGAAAAGTAGAAATGGACGATGCTTTTGATGATGAAGGTGGCCCGTCTCTTACAATCAACGAGTACCTTGAGGAAGTTGAGGAACGGGAGCTGGTATGTTGTTTTCTACACTGTTGATGTACTTATTTGTATCTAAGATGCGTAAATTCTTGTTTTCTTTTCATTTGGATGTTAAATCTATTGTGGATTTTAGGTTTATATTGTTTTTATTTTGACATTGTTATCATATAGTGCAGTATCATTATATGTAGACCTAATTTAACCTATAGTATTAACCTGATAGCTTCACTAAATTGGGGTTGTATTTTTTTTTAATTCACCAAGGGGCTTAGTGAGATAGAACCTATCTCATTTAGATCTAAACATAAATAACAAGTTAATGTAGTTGTAGATTGTCTTTATACTTTCCGTGTAAATTTTAATCTTAAGAAATCATGGGAAAATCCATTGTGAAGGTTATATATTTCAGAAAACATAACAACCACTGATGTGTGTGTTTGAGTGTTCTTTTGACTGTTGAGTTGCTTGCAAAACTGGAAGTTATGTGCACTTTGAACAGTTTGTTCATGTTTCTTGTTTGTCATTTGTGTCAATAACCTATTAGTTTAGAGGAAAACAACACTAAGTGAAAAACTTGTTTTTAAGATAATGACATGTGTGTTTAAAACTATATTGTTAATAGCAAACTATAGCACCACTATGGCATAATAGCCTAGTGGTGGTAGGGCTTGACATGATGCTATTGGTCCACAAGCTGCTAATTGCGGCCCCAACCCACCACTGCATCACTTGTAGTAATTTAGCAATTGCTTCTGCATTCTTTTTTTTTAACTGTCGTCTTTTTTTATGGGTATAATTTTCAAATCGAACCCTTTGAAGACATGGCATGTAGTAACATTGTTGTAAATTGATGGATTGTTTTACTACATATTTCTAATATCCAGAAAGTCAGACATTTATAATCATCCGTACTGGAATTTATTCTTTGAGTTTTACTTCTATAATCTTCATTTGGCACAATAGTTTGTTCTTGAAATTTTCTGCTCGTCTCTAGTTTTGTTAATTTACTTCATTGTTATTAAGTATGAGGGCAAGACAGTGAGCTATGTTTGTAAAGTACACTACAATTGGTGTATGATTCACATTTAAATAGAAATATCACATTTTCATCTGCATTCAGCTGTATCACAAAAGGCTGTATGCCGAAAATCGAGATGCAAGCCTTATATGAAGCACTTATAATTAGGCATAAGCTGTATTACTTAATTGGTTGTTTTGCTGTTATGTGTGGTTCAATTTTACTTAGAATCTTGTGAGTTGAAAATGTTTACCCTCTAATGATTTCTTTGTTCTGTATTTTATTCAATTTGTAGGAAGCTGATTTGGTTTTAGGGGGGGATGATGGAAAAGAGTGTACCTATAGCAAAGGTTATATGAAAAGGCAGGCAATTTTCTCCTGTATCACCTGCACCCCAGATGGGAATGCTGGAGTTTGCACTGCTTGCTCTTTGTCTTGCCATGATGGTCATCAGGTAGTTCTTTTCTCAAGACTCTACAATTTTGGATTGAGTTACTAGAGTGTTGTCAAATGTTTTGCTTTTTGACTGTGAATGATGGAATAGCTGATGTTTTAATTTGCCAAAGTACTGTTACATGAATACAAATCCAGTTTGAATTCAATTTCTTATTCAATGTCCATAGTTATAACCTTCTATGTGATTATTGCTATGCTGTACAGATTGTGGAACTATGGACAAAAAGAAACTTCAGGTGTGATTGTGGGAATTCAAAGTTTGGTGAATTCTACTGCAAGATTTTCCCAAGTAAAGATGTTGAGAATGGTGAGAATTCGTACAATCACAACTTTAAAGGTTTGTATTGCACATGTGCTCGCCCTTATCCAGATCCAGATGCTGAAGAACAAATAGAGATGATACAGTGTTGCTTGTGTGAGGATTGGTTTCATGAGGAGCATCTTGGTCTCGACTCTCTTGATGAGGTAGGCAGCTTTAATTTTTTAAGTGTTTAATCTTATCTCAACCATTTTAAATTGTACATAATATTTCAGTCTTGAGTGAGTTTTTTATGCGTTGTTAGAAAATAAAAAATGGAGCATTTTTTTTAATGAAGAGATTCCAATTTGTGTTAACTGTATAGTTCATTTTAACCACAATCCCCGTATCTCTGAAAGTTACTCAGGAATATCTATGAGGATATAGACTCTTATAGGATGTCTTTTTTTTTCTTCCAAATTTCAAATACTGAGTGCACTTAGATTGACTACCATTCGGTGCATGCTTCTGTTGTCAGGAACGAATAATCTTCAGGATACCACTGTTGATGGGAAAATAGAAAGAATACCAAGCTTAAAAAGATATCAACTTAAAACATTTTTCAAAACTAATTATTTTGATGCTATTGATGCAAAATTGAATAAGGGTTTGTTTCTCTAACTCTTGTCATTTCTCCCTTGAAATAGAAATCTCCAAAAAGGACAATGTTTGTTTCCTGATTTTTCCTTCTTTTCTTTCCCAATCATGTATGTGTAATACAAAGATAATCCCTTCAGAGCTTGATTTTATACTCTATTTGTATTATTTCTGGTATGTTAGTCTGAAAGAGTATTATATTTGCCAGCTTTTACATTTTTATCACTCCTTATTTTTTCTATTGTGATTTTCTATCATTCCTGTTTTACTTCAGATTCCCAGAGATGATGAAGGGGAGCCGCTTTATGAGGATTTCATATGTAAGGGATGCTCTGAAGTATGTTTCTTTCTGAAATTATATCCTGAAGTAATATTGGTGGCCGAGAAGCAGCCAAATGCTACTGTTCAAGCAAGTAAGGACAAAGGTATTTTGGAAGATGAGCCTTCAACTCGCGGGTCTGAAAAGCCACTGGGTGATACTTCATACAATTCCCCTAAAATGGATGAGGCACAAGCTTCTGTTAATTCTGAATCTGTATCTGATGGGAAGGGTCTACCTCAGGGAGGAAGTTGTAATGGCAATACTGCTTTAAGTAAATGCACAGAAGGCCCCAATTTGCATGTTAATTGTCTTCTTGGTGTGAACATCGTTGCTACTTCCCCAGTTAAACATGACAAATCAATGTTTCTTTCGAAAAATTGGAGAGATGCTCTATGCAAATGCAACCATTGTTTGGAATATTACCAGCAGAAGCGAATTGGTTTTCTTCTTGACAAGGATGACTCAATTGTGGAGTATGAGAAAATAGCCAAGCAAAAAAGAGAACAAAAGTTGCAGGAACTGGAGGGTGCTGAGTTAAGTTTTTTTAATAAACTTGGGCATGTAGAGAAAGTTGAGATCTTGAAGGGCATTGAAGAGATGAAGGATGGGCTTCGTTCTTTCCTGGTATGTTCTCTGCATTGCATAGATTTGTTTTGTATTTCTTCACTAGTTCCTGTCACTGTTACAATTAAACCAACGTGGCACAGTTATTATAAAAAATGAGATGGATTCATTAATCACGTCCTTGTTTAATCACTTTAATTTGTTGTCATGTTTCATGACAGGAATCCGCAGACTCCTCCAAGCCAGTTACTGCTGCCGATGTCCATCAGTTTTTCGATGACATTAAGAATAAGCGCCGCCGTACAGAGTGAGTTTAGTATAGAGTGAGTTAATGTTGTTTTGTTAGTTTAAAGGCGTGTTGGCCTTAATTTGCAAACTGTTGAGTTTATTTGTGTAATTTGATGTTCGCAAATGCAATGCCCGACATGTATGAACTCTTTGACTATGAATGTGCTTCAGCTTCTATAAAGCTAACTTAATGACTTCTTAATGTTGCATATTCTGAATGCAGTCTTGATTGAAAGTTCTTATTTATATCAAATTTATAAAACGTCAAGACAATTCAACAAATCAGCTGGCAACATTTTCAAAATATAGATAGTTGTTAATTATAGAATTGTTTATGCTTATACTTTGTTTGATTTATTTAAAATATAGTGATTGTTTATTTTAAACTGTTGATGAATTTTGCTTTAAGTTTTATCGTTTTCTTTTAAGAAGTTGGGATTTTAAAGAGCAGGTGCAGATGCATATATAGCCAAGATAATGAATATAGTTAACTCAACTAGTTTAAATGTTGCTTAGATAATTAGTTTGTTGAATTATTTTGTATTACAAATAAAGTGAATTTGAAAAGAAAAAAAATTGAATTTGGAAGTATTGAGCCTGTTCACAGTTTGAAATAATAATAACAATAAAACCTTATCTACCTTTTTTGTGAGAGTAATTTTATTTATCTTTTAACCAAACACCAAATTACTCATTTTACCAGAAAATCGGAGAGCTAAGCTAGTTCACTATTGTTCAACCAGTTGAATATTTAAAACATTGTGATTAGAAAAAAAATGAAGACAAATGATTCAAATGTAACTTATTATTTGAACGGATAAGTTGTACTGTATCTATTCTAAACCATTAGCATACTTGTGTGGAATTTGTTTTGAAAAATATTATTAAAATTGAGTTGATCTTCCACAAATCCTTACCATTAGCGTGGAAATGAAGAAATAAACTAGAGCATCTAATCTCTTATTTTCCTCCTTGAAGTCTCTCAAATGAGGATTATATGCATCAAAAAGCTCTTGGTAAAAGATCCTTTTTTAGAGATTATTTGAGTTGGGTTAACAAATCTATGATTTGAAGCTGTCCATTGACTATTCTCGTAGTGCTCCCGAACCCAACAGAAAGGTTAAGTGGTTAACTATGCGAACAAGCATTTTAAGGCAGAGACAACGACAAGAGTAGTAGGTTTGGTGGATTGTATTTGCGTCAGGGTTAGATTGTGAGCAGTGAGCATGTGTATCAACAGATCATCTAGTCTGTTAAAAATATTAAACTTGTCATCTCCTACCTAAACTACAAACTATTCTTTATTCCCAGGCTGACAGGGAGATTAGAGGTTTAAAGACGTTAAGCCGATACATTTTTTAATTCTTTAATCATGCAGATTTTCTTAACAAAACATTATTTAGATGATAAACTATCAAGAGAAACAAGGAAGATTAGCTTAATTACAAAATAATATAGGACGTGTCTTTGTCCAATCTGTCACATTATGCTTTTCTTTATTCCGCATCCTCTGATGTCATAATGACTTCAGTTAGATGCAAGCAGTCTATGTCAATGAGTTTGTTATATTTTCAATGATATTACAAGATAATACAAGACCCTTATTTCTTGAATCACTTTAATCAAATAATTTCCATGGATTCAACTATTCACAGGTTACATTAAATCTTGCTCGGAACAACCTTGTCTTTCTATTTTGAAACAGATTAGTACAACATTGCTTGATTACATGATTTATGCAATGCATTTTTTTCTGGGTTACTGATGTTGTTCGAATTGAGAGAATTCCCCGGTATCTGGTGGGTCTGAAGTCTAGAATTACATAATGTTATTTTTGTTAATTAGATTATCAAATTGAGTTGATAAGATTAACGATTCCGGTGAATTAAAGAATTGATAGAATTTGAAGTTGCTATAAAAAATTGTACTCGTAATTTTCGAAATGTAGTGTGTAAGTTTGTTGGGAGATATTAATTAATAATATAAGTTAGTTTAAAGAAGTCGACATCATTTATGGTTTATTATAATGAAAGTAAAAGCTGTGTGAAAATGAAATATGTAGGTAGTATAGGCTAGCTACTTCTGTATCCAGAATTTTACATCTTGTTTGTACGCGTAATCATACTACTCTTAAATAAATTTTCAAGCCAACGTATTTCTATATATATATTTTAAGGTTAAATATTTCTAATTCCTTGATCAATCTCAAAAAATTTACAATAATGATTCTTATATTTTCTATATAAATTTTCGATTTCTCATATTACCGATGATTAACAAAAATTGACGTGACATATTATATAGAATTTTTGATAATTAAACATACATGTAATAATGTGACAAAAAAATATTGACATAGATATTACATGACAATTGTTTCTATTATTTATTTTTTATATTAATTAAAATTATAGCAACAGAAACTGGATCGTTAAATCTGTCATTAAGATAAATTTCATACATAAATCGAAACACATAAATGACAATTAATATATAGGTCATTCCTATTTAATCATTACCTAATTTAATAACACCATTTTTATTATCTAAAATTAGTTTCTTTTTCATGATATTTTTTTCGTGAAAATTTATAAACGTATAACATTTTTCATACAATTTTTTTTTATATTTGAGATGAACTAAATATGAATTTTTTTAACGTCGAATTTCTATAAAATATTGATATATGGTTGAATTTTGAGATGATTTTTTACAAAGACTTATATAATAACACTTAAAATGAATCTGCAAAATTTCATGTCATTTAAATATATATTGTTCTAGCCTGAGCTCCGACTTGACCGGGCAGACCCAGCCCAATGATACTTAGTTAGGCTCAATTCAACTTGGGCTACATCCGTCGAGCACATGGTTCTCGCCGGGCAAACAATGGCCCCTCCGCAGGCAGAACCTTCTCCCTTGTCGAGCAGAACAACGTGTCCTTCACACGTTCTCCACGTGCTCCCCTCCGCGAGGACACGTCACCAAAGAGCAGGTCAAATCCACTTTCCGGAGATCACAAGACAGTTGAAATAGGGCGAAGACCACGTCCTGGTCTTCACTACGTCACGTAAGCCCTAGCAGTCACTTGGATTGAGTCTGGCCATCCAGCCCAACTCAAATGATCGTTGGCCCTGCGCTGGGGTCTCTCTATAAATACCCTCTTTCACAAGAGGATCAGATATTCTCTTCTTAACCTTTTCTGTATTTGCTGTCACTCTGTCCAAACTCTTATTTTGACTTCGAAGTGTCTTGAAGGTACATATAAATATATTTTTATATAGAGACAAATTATTATAATCTAAACTTTGTTTTTATTTATTTATGAGAATTTATCAAATTATAAGAATCTCTCTCATAAAAATTATATTTTTTACATGAAATAAATTAAATATAAAATTTTTAAATGTTGATTTTTCATAAAACACAAACCAAACAAATATTGATGTATAAATAAATTTTGACCTAATATTTTCGAAACTCAAAGCATGTAAAAATAGTAAGTTAGTTTGCCAATGCTAATTTATATAATCTATTTAGGATGATACAACTCTTAGAATATAGAATAAAATCATGCAAGAGTTATTTTAAAATATAGTTATAATGTTGATATAATTCTTTTCGACCGTTAAAAATCAAAACAATTGACATTTAAGTTAAATACTCAAAATGAGAGTATAAGTATGAATTCTTTTATAAGTTATATATATATATATATATATATATATATATATATATATATATATATATATATATATATATATATATATATATATATATATATATATATATATATATATATATATATATATATATATATATATATATATATATATATATAAGTTATATATATATATATATATATATATATATATATATATATATATATATATATATATATATATATATATATATATATATATATATATATATATATATATATATATATATATATATATAAGTTATATATATATATATATATATATATATATATATATATATATATATATATATATATATATATATATATATATATATATATAACTTATATATATATATATATATATAACTTATATATATATATATATATATATATATATATATATATATATATATATATATATATATATATATATATATATATATATATATATATATATATATATATGAATTAATTGTCATGTTGTTAACACATTCATTGATGCAATTTTTTTAATATCTAGTCTTTTAGAATTTATTCATTCTATTTAATTTTATATATTATTAATTAGTCTCTTTGAGTCATATCTCCTTCTTTATTAATAAACTAAATATTATTATTGTGTATTATATTTATAATTAATTTTATCTCCTTGTAATTAGATAAATATTCATAAAAAATCATTAGGTATAACATAATATTAAGAATATTTTAAAAATTGGACCGATCTTTAAACTAATGAGGGTAATGGATCACTGGTTTATTGGTCAAATTATTAGGTCATTGGTCGAACCACATAATTAATTTGGATTAAATTGAATAATTCAGTTGAATAAGCTAGTGTATATAATAAAATTATATAATTATTAAATCGGGACAACCAAATGACACGATCTTTAAAAAAAAATTAAAACACCTACAAAATTTTAAAATTTCACAAATTTATTTTGTAAATTCAAATTCTAAATATAATCATCATCACCCACGCAACAAAATAATACATAATATAAATTCAAATAAATTTTGAACAAAGTCTAATTGCAACATAACAAAATAATTTAATAATTTAATAAACTTAATTTCAACGAGAAAAAAAATTGTTCAAAATATTTTTTGAAAAAAGGCTACTTATGTTATAATTTTATTATTATTTTTAAATTAGTAAAACGGCGTAGTTTTGTTTGAGAAAAAACAAGCATTTAACCTGTCGATTTTCTAAAATTACTGGCACACCAGTTTTGACCGATTCTAGCCGGTTTTCACTGGTTCAATAATTTATTTGGTCCAGCAATAAGACCAGATTCATGACTCATCTAATTCTCG